TTTTCCCTCGATGAGTTTCGTAACGTGTCTCATATCCAACGAGAAAATAGGTATCTTCTGAGAATTACTTCAAAACAAATGCTTCCATTGGACTCGGGACGCGTTACGAAACCTACCGGTAAAAAATGTGTAGCAACCTTTAATCCTGCCGACCGTGCGTATGATCAGTCACGAAAAGGTCGCAAGACTTTTTTTTCAACGAGTTTCTCGCAACGCATTTCGTATCCAATAGGAAAATGTATCTTCTGAGAATTATTAAACAAGAAACAAATTCTCCTACTGAATTCTCCTACACGGAATGCGTTCTGAGAAACTTATAAAAAAAATTTTCGGTTTCAAAGTTCCGGGGAAAATCCGTTTTTTCTCTATTTTTCCGCGAATTTTTTCAGTTTCTGTCCCGAGGATAGAAAAATTCGTTTAGAAACATTCACACGCTTTCGGTGGAAATCTGCCACATTTACTTCCTCCCGTGGAGGAGGTAAGAAGCCAAAAAAATCTACGGAAAAGCTGAGAAAAAGAAACGATTTTTTTCCGAAACTCGTAAACTATAGAAATGAAGTATCGCGAACTTTTTGCAACTGACCACACGTGACTACCGATTACGTAATTTTTTAAGCTAGCTGATATTCTTTCTCGCACTTCCCAAGCTGCCTAATTTCTCACAGAATAATAGCTGGTATTAGCAAGTTCTCTTTTCCACCGAATTTTTGACTTTCTGCGTATTCATTCGTCGCAAACCCGCATAATCCGTGAGAGCCACTCTGTAGCTCTTCACGATGACGTCGCTCGGCCCCTCCTAGTGCGGATCGAATTCGCGATTCATAAGATCCTCTTTAAACGCAAGGACGAAGAGGAAGGGAAAAAAGAAGGAAGAGGAAGAAGAAGAAGTCGTATCGGGGATATGCACACTTTGCTAGTTGGCGTGCTTTGCGAACTCGGAGCGTCTACGTTCCGCGGCGGCTCCGGTCGGACGCGCCGTCGACCTGGCCGTAAATCCGATTCTCCTCTCGTCGACTGTCTCGCGGAGGGCGAGACGGAGGGACGCTCGCGAACGACGCCGTCGTCGTTGCCGCGTCGTCCGGCGGTGCGCCGAGCTACGAATCGTTCCGCGTTAAGTTTCGACTGCGTGGCTTCCACCAGCCGGGAAAGCCCCGGCCGTAGACAGCTGCTGCGCGGTCCCCGGAGGGATTCGCAGCGGTGGTTGACGAAAACGAGCTCGGACAGCCGCCCTTATACCCATCATCGTCGGCCTCTTTTTCTCCGTCTACCCACACCCTGCTTCACCTCCTCCCTCTCTACCACTCCCCCGCCGTTTCTCCCCTTTATCACCCTTACACGGGTTCGCGAAACTGTTCCTCGTTGCCGCCACCGTCGTCGTAGCAGCAGCCGCCACCATCCCCGCTCACGCGACAACCCCGCACAGTTATTACGTGACCATAAAGAGCAGCCGCTTTTCCAGGACGATATCGTATTGCGCTTGTCGCGTCAAATTTCAGGATCGCACTTGATTCCGGAAGTAACGTAGAGAGAAAAAGAAAGAGAGAGAGAGAGAGAAATAGGGGGATAATTCGGGGCACGTCGGTGCGGGGTTGCGAAGGGAAGGAGACACAAAGTCGCCGATAAAACCACGTCGAGTAGGGATGTTCGAACGCCCGACCAAGTACTGACGAACGGGGGTTGATATTTTCGTTCGGACGGATTTACCGGTAGGGAAAGCGCGACAGTCAACCGTGAGGGAGGCGGGAAATAATTCAAGAAGAAACGGAGGAAGATAAGAGCGACAATTGGACGTTTACGCATGGCGAAAACGTGGAAGGAAGGCACACGCGCGCGGAACAAGAAAAAAGAATGTTATGTATTTTATATAAATTTTATTCACGCACGGTAATTCTTGGCTATTTTTTTAGAATATTGCGATAAAATGAGACGAGCAACAGTCGGGAGATTAAAGAAAGAGAATACACAATTATAAACGGTTGGCGCAATTATATAAATATTGTACAAACGAGCAAAAAATATAGCAGAAAAATATAATGAACATAAAAAAGTATGGCATTGTATTCTGTCCTTAGCTAATAGGAGGAGGATTGCTGATCTCTTGTTTCTGCATAACTTCTCAGTCGGATGCGTCCTGATCTTTGGCATCAGTCTCAACGTTCAGGGGAGAAATTTGAGATGTCCGCTTTCACGGTTTTCCAGCATCGGACTGTACGAAAAGTTAAGGGCAATCAACCGCATGTGTATTGTGGCTAATGAGTTGCCCGATTGCGTAGACTGTTTCACTATTACTCGTAACTCCCTTCGAATTAGTTTAGTAGCTCCTTATTGTACAAAAAATAATCACAATTTGAATTACGCACACGACACCTGACGATTGACCTTAAAATAATCCGAAACAATATTTATAACTGCGCCAACCATTTATAATTGTGTATTCTCCTCCTTTAATCCTTCGATTGTTGCTCGTTTCATTATTATAAAATTCTAAGAAAGGAAAACAGCTTGGAATCATCCTGTGTGAATAAAATTCATATCAAAAATATATTTGCTTCCTCTTCTTTACCTATGATTCTTTTAATTGATTGTATTTTGCGTGTTTACGCGGTTCAAGTGACATATGATTTACGTATTACCGTATCAAAGGGAAGTTTTATTTTCCCATTTACAATTAATAATAATAATAATAATAATAATGATGATGGCAAAAAGATAAATTGAAGTTTCTCGCGATCGTCGACGCGATTTTTTACCCTGCTTCGCAGCCCCGAGCGTGTAAGAATTATCCAGGCGCGATCGCGCGACAATGTTGCGGCATAAATAATGCATTCGGCGCGGCTTAAAGTTCGCCCGGTGGCTCATGAGTTTCGGCGGTGCGCGCTTAGAATAAGCGGTCACCCGAACGCGCTACAAATTAATCCTGTTAGCGCAAAGTCAAGTTTCAAGCTAAAACGGAATTATCGGCTATCCCGCTCTACTGCTGCGTAATTGCTGTATATCCGACGCGTGGATTATAATGCGATCCCGCCGGCGAATTTCCGCCCCCCCCCCCTCCCGCGGATTCTCGGGGGTGCGGACTTTTGCCTTGGACTTCTTCCAATCGTCATCGGCCGATCCGTCTCCCGATACGACCAGAAAAATGACGCGCGGCGGCGAACGAAGCCAGCCGCGTAAAACATCTATCGTTCTCACGGAACACCGAAGCGAATTAGCTTTGTTGCCAAATGGCAAGGTAATCCGTTCAACTTCGATATATGCGTTTCATTTATCGCGTCGCGAAACGCCTCTGGATCTGGATGAAGTATCTGAATTCGCGTACCGGAAGCGATTAAACCCGGGATTTCTTTTTTTCTCCGCTCCTTCGCTCGCGATAGATTTGAACGATAAAAATGCTGTATCATATTTATTATTGTGTTATTATTGTTATTATTATTATTATGCTGTTTCCATCTTCGATCATTAATCGCGAAAGTTTGGGTACTCCAACGACACGCGTGCCGATACATTGACGCGTGAATCGATCGCGCGATGCGAATTATTTTATGGAAAATAGAACGAACGAGCCGTCCGCGCGAATCGGGCCAATTTTCTACTCAGAGCTTTATTACGTCATGCGCTAGTTCGCACACGACACCTAACGGTTAATCTTAAAGTAATTCGATGATGGTCGAGGGGATTACTTTTGAAGTAATATACATATCCTGACTCACCGCGACGCCAGGTCGAATGGAATTTTGCGCGTCTCTCTCTCTCTCTTTCTCTCTCTCTCTCTTTGCGTCTCCGAGTTCGAAAATCGAGTTTCAAGAGCGCAATAACGACAACACGTTGCACGAGGAGAAATCTTTCGGTGTCGTTTCTATTATTTAACGTGACGAGTGCATAAATGCATTTCATGGCACTCATTACGTTCATCCGCTCTACCCTCCAGTAGGCCACTTAAGTGTGACAAGATAATTCCGATAGACTCTGAAACGGCGATCAAATTTAAACCACTGGCGTATACCGAATTAATAATTCCGCGGCGCGATTATCGCGTGGTTCACAAGTTGTGCGTAAACTGTAACGGCGCGCTTTTGTGTGTGTGTGTGTGTGTGTGTGTCAAGCCCGTGGAATGAACGACGCGCTTTTAATAGAAGCAAATTTCGAATTTATCGTAATTGTTCCGTTTAATTTATCGTAATCTGTCGCGATCATTCACACTTAGAATCGTCCCGTTCGTTTCGTTTCGCGAATACTTCGCGGCCTTTTTCGCAAATACAAGTCACACCGTTCCTTCGCGAAATCTTAATACACTCCTCGACGGGAGTCTCCTAACTGAAACGTGGCACTTGTTAAAAACCCGCCGAGCGTATCCCGGGCGGTATTCAAGTGTATACATTGCTTCAAAAGCCGGACATCCGAAATGCATCAGTCACAGACAAAATAGCGGGTCTTCGCTCGCGCGTGGTCACGCTAACGCTAACGTATTCGAGTCCTTTTCAGCTTCTTCGTTATCCGCCACACACCGGCGAAACGAGCAATTTCACAGAACAGCGCGCTCCTCTTTCAACTCATTCATTCTACATCTCGTCGAGCAATGAAGACAGAAGCAGAAGCAGGTCGAACGAAACCGTCGATCACCTTCGTTACGTACAAACGTGCGATCCGATTCATCATCCGTCGCGAGCAAATGAAAAAAATCATCGACAACATCATCGGAATTGTGTCCGGATTTTTCTCGCCGCGCTGAGAAAAAGTAATTGCACGGTGAGATAATTATACGCAACCGGGAAAATCTGTCCTTATATTAGCTATAATTATCTGTCAGCGTACGAGGACGAGCGGAAGTATGGCCGGAGGATGACTCGAATGATTTTCCACGAGGGACCACCGGCAGTCCCTCCCCCTCCGCGTGCAATTCCCCCGACGGAGTCTTCCCATCGTTCGCACGTGTCCGTCGCGCCGAACGCGGTTTCCGCGCGGAGAACTGCCGGCCGATCGAAAGAAGAAGGGGGTGGACTCACCTTGACCAGCGGCGGACTGTGCGTAGGTGGATGATAGTGCCCCGGCGATGGGCTCGCGGGTGGCCCCGCGCCCCCGGGCGAGATGGCGCCGCCTCCGGGGGTGAGAATCCTGGACTCGTGGCTGAACAACACCTTCCCGACCTTCTCCGCACTGCCGCGGACCCCGCAGCGCGACGTGCCTCGTTCGCACCTGCCGCCGCCGCGACGCGCTCTCAGCAGCAGGCCGACGACGATCTCGATCTCCGGATCGATGATACCTCCCGCTCCGTTCCCCCTCACTTCCGCTCGCACTTGTCCGACCTGACGTTACTTTCTTCCCTGCTCTTTCCTCCTCTCTCTCTCCGCCTCTCTCTTTTTCTCTCTGGCAGCCGACACGTGTCGCCCCCGAATTCGAGATCGCCGGGGTGGTCGACAGTCACGTTGACGATCACTCCGGAATCAACAGCCTCGCCGGCTGTCGGAATGTAGTAGCCGAGGTCTCCTCACTGTTCCGTCGTCCGACCGATAATCGCCGCTCGAGAGATCGTAACACACAGCTGATCGTCGCGATTACGGCGCGTCACGAGATTTTCGCGAGGACTCTGGCATCTGGGGGCCGGCGAGAGTAGTCGAGCGCGACGTCCGTCGCGTGCGGGAGTACGCCGGAGTACTGCCGCGAGTGACAGCCTGGCGGGCGCGACGAGCGCGGCTTGACGATCGCGCGCAATTTGGCGCTCGGCCGGCCGGCCTCTTAATTGTCTCTTCCCTGCGGCATCAGCGCCGGCGGCGACGTGCTGTTAGAGCGGTGGACCGGAACTGTCATAACGCATCGGGCACGCCGCGTGAGACCCGGGAGTCGTGCCATCCGCGCGACGAGATCGACGAAAGTCGCGGACACTGTCTCGTTGACAGCCGAGAAGGTGTGCTCTCTCTCTCTCTCCTTACGTTACTCTCTCGTGTCGATCTCTCTCAGCAGCGGCTCAAAGGGCAACGCTGCGAGCCCTCGGTGACATGGGCATCGCGCTGTGAAGACGCTTCTCCTCGGTTTCCTAACTGAAACCGTGTGACAGCTAAGTCGAAGCGCGGCCTAAGGCGACGACGGACGCTTCACAGAGTCCTCTTCGGGTGCGGCGATCCACGCGACTCGAGTTCCGATAGATCGGTCGAGACATCGAACGGGTTCGATTACTGTCCCCGAAGTGAGCGACTTCACGTGATACTCGGATCTGATCGTTCCTCGTGAATGAGCGCGCGACGACGTGGGTCGACGGGGATTCTCCCTCCCTCTTTCTCTCTCTGTATACCGGAGATCCTCCGAATGCCGCGATGCGTGAGCCGCGACAGGAGCCCAACAACCCGGACGACGACGTGTCGCGGACGGTGTCCGTCGTGGCCGCGAAGTCGCGGACGGTCGCGTTACGCGCCTCACCACGACGGGAAGCGTGCTCGCGATAGGCGGAGTTGCACACGCGCTCAAAATACCACGAGGCGTGGCTTATCACGTCGTTTCTCTTCTTCCTCCCCCCTCCCCCGTCGCGCGGGATCGCTTCCCCCTCCTGATGAAATCGCGCGGTCGCTTCTCTCTCGCTCTTTCTCTCTCCATCTCTCCCCTCTTCCTCTCCTTCTCTCTCTCCCTCTTTCTTTCTCTCTTTCCGACGATCGTCTCTCCGCGAACGGCGACGCGGAGGTGCGCCGCCACGTGGTTTTATTGGCCAAATAACGCGTACGACAAACATCCCTACTTTTCCTCCCCCCGGTTTCCTCCCATCCTCCGTACGCTCCTCTCGCCTCCCCCCTTCCGTCCTCTCGTCCTGACCGCGAGCGGAATCTCCTGTCTCCCGGTGTGTCGTAACAACTCACCCTTTTCTCTCTATCTTCCTCCCTCGCCTTCGCTCACCCTGCCCGCTCGCGGGGCTGCACATGGGCACTTTGCAGGGGAAAGAGGCGATAGTCGTCATGGTGTAAATCGCGTTTACCCCCTCGAGTCCATGGCGATCCTCCGGAGCGCGTATTAGTCGCGGTACCACCTCGCCGTCCGCGCGTCCCCCGCGTCGCCACCCTTCGGCCGAGGGGGTGTCCTATGACGAGCGACGGAGTCGCGGGAGAAGAGGAGCGCGCGGATTTCGGCTCGCGAGGCAAACACGCGTCGTTGAACGTTCCCGTCCGATTCAATTTTCGCGGGACTTCTCGCACTTATTTGCGCTTATGTTGCCGCGTTCGGGAAACTAGCGAAGCGACATCGGAGCAAATCTCCGCATCTGACGATCCCTTGAAAAAACGCTCTTTTCTCATTCGAAATACGTGTCGTACGTTTTTCTGCTCTGCTGAGCGACGAGGACTCTGATGACAGCGGTGGCAGCGGCGATGAAGTAGAGCCTCTTGAAGAATGATCGATCGGGACTTGAAGATCGCAAGTGCGGCCGTTTAAAAACAGGATACGACGCTAATAGGGAATTACGACGAGTCCTCCTCGCGACTTCCGGGGGATAACGGTGGATACACCCGTCCGGGATTGAATAGCGGCGAAAATAACGCGGGAACTGCCGTCGCTCGAGCGGACGCTTCGAAACGTCAGCTTGAAGACGCCCGATTTCGAGACTCGTTGCCGCGGATTGTGCGTCGCGCACAATGAGCGAGGTGTGACAACGGGTGTGCATTGTCCCGAAAGATCCAAGTGATTAAGGGTCGAGGGTCTCGGTTATCAACGCTGCGGCCGAGTGCGATTTTTTCGTCTCAGCTGTTCGATTTCGCGGCTCAGCTTCCAGGGATGATCGTGTTTTGCCGCGAGAGCGACGGGAGAGAGATGAGAGCGCGCGCGACCAGAGGAGGAGGAGAGATTTCGAAAAAGCGAGGAAGAGACGGACGGAGAGAGGAGGAGGAGGGTGGGCAGAATGAAAGGCCGAGTTAGGAGCGTAATCGCATTACGTGGTGACTGGATTACACCGCGCCGCCACGTTTGCGAGCTGTGTGCCGCGCGCACCCATACACGCACCCTCCCGTCCCCTTGGTTTAAGTAACCACCCCGGGACGTCGTCCGGCTGTCCAGACCGTTTGAACTGCGGCGGGAAAAGACCCGGGGCCGGAGGGAGCCACGGGGGATACTAAAAATATGCCGTTATCCTCGGCCCCGCTCCGGCCGGTCTTTTATCGCGGAGACGGCCGCTTCCTTCCGCGCGCGGGACGCATTAAGCGAGTTTCCGTCGCTTCACGCGGAGATCCTTCGCCGGGCAGGGGCGTCGTAAAGGACGAAGAAGCGGAAGAACAGGAGAAAAGGGAAGTGGAACGTGCGAAGGCGGTAAACGAGTTACGACACGCCGATTGTTACGGGTAGTTACCAGTGGCCGGCGCTGTCGCATTGCCGCGTCTCATTAATTTACATATCAAACGCGATCAATTGCGTATATGGAGAAGAATTGGTTGAATTAACGCGACACGATACGATTGAAAGCGGAATTTCGTTCGTGAGAAGCAGACATTTCGTTTCTTCTTCTTCCCCATCAAAACTCGCTCAATCGTGTCATGTCGCATTAATTTAATCAATCTTCTTTCTCTGTATAACGAATTATATGTCTAGCTAATGGGTAGGCAACGAGAGCTAATGAGTAAATGCGCCACGAATCGCACTTATCTGACGTTTTCTTGGCGATTCAAATCAATTGCGTGCACGGGAAAAATTGAATGAATCAATATGACGCGATACAATTAAAAGCCGAAGTTAGTTTATAAGAACTAGAAATCTTGTTTCCCCTTATCAAATCACACTTAGTTGTGTCATATCGTATTAATTTAACTAACCCTTTTTTCTGTATATAACGAATGAAATACGCAGCCAATAGGTAAGCAACGAAACGAGAGCTAATGAATAAATATATCGTGAATTGTACTTATTTGACATATCTTCGATGATTCAAATCAATTGTGTATCTGGAAAGAAAATAGATGATTTAATGTGACACGAATCGAATGTGATTCATAAGAATCAGAGAAATTCCGTTTCCCCCCACCAAATATAGCGCTTAACCGTGTCATGTTACGTTAATTTAGCCAATCTTTTCTCCTGTAACAAGTATACAACAAATTAAACATACGGCCAATAGGCAGAGAACAAAACGAGAGCTAGTGAATAAATGCATTGCGAATTGCAATTATTATCTGACGTCTTTTTCATGTGATTCAAACTTTATTGGAACAATGAAGTAATCAATAATGGAAATCAATCGTGTTAATAAGAAGACCCGTCCTACCCTCACGAATTCGCGGCTGCCTTTGAAATCTCCACGATGGATTTGGGCAAATTCGGAGGGGGGAGGGTGGAGGGGGAGGGGGAGCTATAACCTATCCTCTTGACGATTCTTTCCCCACCCGTGCTCGACATCGCCGACGCGCGAAGAGAGCCGAACGGGTGGACGCGAATTAACGCGAATCGATCGCTTTTTCCGCAAACACATTTACGATGCGTCGTGGTACGCCAGCGTTGCCTAACACTCCTCAACGAGTGCTGCCCCTCCTCCGTCTCCTCCGTTTTGTTTGCGAGGACGACGGTCGCTCGCGGTTAGACTCTCCTGCGCGTCTCGAATTCCGGCGACGTTGGCGAGCGAGCGGTGGAGGTTCGTTTAATAAAATAACCTTGTTACCAGCTCGTGGGGAGCGGCGAGGGGGGCGTCGACGGTTATGGGGGGGGGGAGGTGCGCGAGGGGGAAGAGGGCGCAGGAAGATCCGCGAGACAGAGGAGCAACGGTGCTACGGCGAAGCAGGGATGTGACGGGCACTGACGTCGGCGGGGGCGGCGAGTGGCTGGTGGATGAAGAGGGGGAGGGAGAGACAGCGGGGAGAGGAGCTGCACGCCTTGCTTGGTACCGTCGACGAGGAGCGAGGACGACGCCGTCGGCGGCGGGAAGGGTCATCGGGGAGGAGGGGGGAACACGGCGGGAGGGTACTAATACATAAAGTAGCTTAAAGTAGAAAATTGTGGAAGCGTCGTGATGCCTGGTGATTGCGTTACCTCCGAGGCTTTGATTTAAAATGCAACGGGGAAGAGAGGGCGGGCGGGGTT